GCAGCACTCGTGGTGTCCAATCGGCTCGCCCCGGACACCACGAGGTCTCGGGAGGTTTGCCATTTTGCCAGTACCTTTCGTCCAGTTTTGACCAAGCGGAACAAAAATGGTCCCGGGGTTCAAAGAACAACCAGGAGAAACAATGTCTCAAGATAACCCCCTTGTTACACAGGCACACTTAACTGCAGTTATGCTTAACCCCGGTTACCACATGTACGCTATGCTCGCGGACAACATTCTGCGGCTATGCAGACGAAGCTATGAACGCACCTGGCTTGGGTAGCTCCACCAAAGCTGTGCACGCACTCGCCTTGCTACTCCTGATGTAGCTATCCGAAAGCATAGTGTGATAACTCCGGTTGTTGTGACGCGTAACAGCAGTTTGTGACTTAAAAAGGACCATGAACTAACTTTTTTACTTTTGCCAAAAAAACTTCATTAAACTGTCAATGTTCACTGAACACCGAACAGGCATCCGTTTTTGTTTCGGTTTATTAACTTCTACACGAGAAATTATTAAAATGAGGTATTCTTCCTTTCCAGCTCACCGCAAAACAAAGGGCGGCGCACTTTTGACGGTCGTGACCTACTATGGCACCGGGCAGCAGGAGAATGGGAGCGTTAGCTGCGAGCTGGCGGTGTGCCGGCAGTTTTTAATATAGGGTTTTACTGCGCTGATGGCGCCGACGCCACCGATATACTGTCATGGATGAAAGTGACGAGAAGACGAACAGTGAACTGAAGATTAAGGTTTAATCGGCGAACTTTTTCCAAACAAAATAACGAACGAGCGTCGAGGCGGCAGAAAAGCGGGTGGAGATTTGGTGGCGTAACAGCAAGCGAGAGCGAGACCGACTCAGCAAGGTCGCGGACCGCTCCTTATCTGGAGTGTGTCGGCATCTGGAATGTTCGGCAAAAAAACGTCGAGCGTCGCGGTCTCGGGGCGAGAGTGTACAGGAATTTTCGAGAACAAGAAGGAAGGATGAAGTGAAAGGTTACGCCCCGAGCAAGAATAAACACGAATCTTCAAGTGCGTGACCGAGCGTTGTTTGCTCGGCCCTGCGCGCGGCATTATTTTCTGAATCGGCGCCTCTCACCTCCGCGATAGCCACGGAGACATCGCAGCTGAGCAAAATTCAATTAGATATGTGTCGCTACAGCGACAGCATGGGACTGGTTCCATACAGAGTACGAAGCGCAGCAGGTCGTCAGCACGACAGGCGCTTCTCCGCCACCGTCAGTTGCTTCCGCGGTATCTCTAAAAAGAACAGAAGGCGCAGTGACTCACTGGCTTAGCAGAAAAGGCACAGGGTTTTCTGTGGGCTCAAGCTTTATTAACTCCTATTTTGTCAGGATTGACTCGCAGGGCAGAGTGGATCAAAAAAGAAAAGGAAAAGATAGGCAGTACGCCGTCTTGGACGATCACGACTTTAAAACACGTCTTTACTGATAGTACAAATCTCGCCACACGCGTTCTGTACGATTGCAAAGACAAAGTAATCTTAGCAGAGATATAGCAACGTAGAAATATGATTTCGTGGTCACATAGCCGCTGCGATCGTTTAAGAAATGTTAACACTAATCACTTTTTTCGGGGGATGAAAATGCGTCAAAATTCGCATCCTTCATACACGCCTTTATATACAGTACGCACCAGTAATATCTTGAACCTGAGCACACGTATCGAACGCCCAAAATAAGAAACCCGGGCAATGTTCCAGCTCACAAATGCTAAGAAAGCACCACTGTAGTCAAAGTAAACAACACAACGGCACGAGCGTTTCTGCTGTTTTGAGGGTGCCGTCATAACATCGCCGCACGAGTACATGGATCTTCCCTTCTAGGATGTGCTGAATTATCATCGTGACAAACGAAGAGAATTGAGTCAAGGATAGCGCTCTATGCGGAACGACGAACTTCCACCATGCCGACCACGTCGGCAATCACCACCGTCGCCATGTTTTTTCAGCAGTGCAGGAACCGCGACCGGCGCAGGCGCAGTCTCATCTTTCTCTTGCTTCGTTTACCACACGATATATGGCGCATGGCTGCGAGCATTATAAAATCTGACGATTTCCGTCACATCGCTAATTATTCCACGAAATGTGGATCAAAATATTCCTTAATAAAACTTCAAGAAACTTTCGCCGGCTATTGTTTAGGATCGCGGTGCTGGTGAGGTAGGCTCTTATCCAATAGGCGACGTGGATTTGGCTGACGTTTCTTGGCACCGCGGATGCATCGCAGCGAAAAGGCAGAGAGCTTTTGAAGGAAAGAAGGCATAAAAGAGTTCGCTTTTCTTTTAAGAGTTCTATAGCGAAAAAAAAAATGTTGGATCTCTATCGTTTCACGGTTCCTTTAACTGCACTTAAGGGTGCACGTGTAAGTATAAGAAGTCTTTACTAAATACAGCAGACCAGGTGTTTTCCTTTGCATCCCGGTTCAATATGAATGTTTGAGCGTAGCTTCTCGTTAACCCTTAGTCACATAAAACGGCAAGGGTAGTATACGAAGGTCGGGGAGGGTATGTCTAACGACGTGAACTACCGCCTGGTTTCCCGGAGTCCTCCTCCGTTTTCAAATTTATCGACGCGTGCGGAAAGTGTCTCTCGGCACCGCGTTCGTTGGTTGCCTTCCCTCACCTCGCCCGGCCAGGGCTCGGTGGGGAAACGCGCATATCTTTCGGTTCTTAAAGGGCCCATGAAACGAATTTTGGGCTGAGATAAATAAATTTAGATTGGGATTTTACTAGCACTTTGTTTAGTGGATCAAAAGAAAAAAGGTAGAAAGTCAAAAGCTTGACTTTCAGTACGATAATTTGAAAACATAGCAGACTATTTCGTACCTTCTTCCCTTCGAAAGCTCTCTGCCTTTTCACCGTGATACATCCGCGGTACCCAAAGTGCGCCACACGGCCCAAACGTACTATCGGGGAAAAATGAAATGCGAACAGAGGAGCGCGTGGCTCGCGGTACAGGCTGCGCCGCCTGGAAGTGAGCCTAGGAGCGAGGGTGCGTGGCCTACTCCGACGTGTTCACGCCCTTCCTCTGCGCTCCCCAAGCTTCAGCAGTGCGCCTCTTAGTGCGCTGAAAGCTATCACTGCTGTCTTTGCTGGCTCAGCGCGTTTGGTGCAAAGAAGCTCGCCGCACTCGCCGAGCAGGCAAAGATAGCGGTGACAGCTTTCAGCGCACTGAGAGGCGCACTGCCGAAGCTGGGGGAGCGCCAATCTAGGGGCGTGAACACATCGAAGTAGGCCACGCACCCTGGCCCCTAGGTTCACTTCCAGGCGGCGCAGCCTGTACCGCGAGCCACGCGCTCCTCTGTTCGCATTTCATTTTTCCCCGATAGTACGCCCCACGACACCGGACCTCATTCTCTTCACCCCTAAGCTGACAGTGCTGTGGGAGCTATGCGCTTTCCGGACCAATCAGCCGCCTCCCTTTCGTCACCTCGACTCATTCTCTGCGCGTGGATGTGCGCGATGGAGCGTGATCATGTGGAAAAAGTGTGGCTGGCCCAACGAGCACGTAGCTTTCACAGCACTGTCAGCTTCAAGGTGAATGGAGTGGGGAAAGCAACTTTTGCTTTGTGCGACGGGCTAATATTCTAGGAAAGAATGGCGGTGTCTGGGAACACAAACGAGGGTCCGAGCAAGAGGGGACTCCCTCTTTTCCGTCTTCTTGAGCTGTTTGGCACAGTGCGCGATTTGTGGGTTGAGGAGGAATGCTAAACAGGAAAAATTTGAAGAATCATTTCATGACCCCTTTAACTGCCCTGCCCGAGACTCGGCCGGGTTACTCCCGAGGCCATAGGCGGCAAACGGACATCCACGTCCGCGTCTGGGACATCCACATTCATTAATGTTACAAGGCACGCTTTCCTCTAACTCTGCCCAAAGACAGACAAGGCACAAAACATATACCAAGAGGTCTTTGAACCAAGCAGGGTTGTTTCACGGGAAACGGCGGGGAATGTTTTGGGTTTGGAGGGCCAACTGTTTTCAGGGCCAAAAGGCAGATCTGCAGAGAAATGACCGTCTGGGAGAGGGGAATTTTCACGCTTGGTGTGCGAACCTGGGTTTAAGTGTGAAGAACACAGGTCAGTGTGAGAAGAGACTCTGAGGGCGAACGGACGCATCGCGTCGTAGAGCGGGGCGACGGGACCACTGTCAACGGCCTTTCGCCAAGTACAGGAAGCAGTTCCATCAAGTGTGTGCGTGCCATCTCAAGAAGTGGGTGCGAGGCCAGGGGGCCCCGCCCATAGTGAGCCAGCCAGCCGCCGGAACTCCTCCGCCTTGGACGGACCGCGCAGGGAGACGTCGTCAACCATCGACTCGCCAAATGAGACTCCGCACTCGCTGTTACTTTTTGGAATTAGCATATCTTGATTCGGTTAATCGTAGTAACTTTATTAGGGATTGTATAAGCATCCGTAAACCTAGATTTGTGAACCCTGTTTTTGTAAGCGTTATATCCAGTACTATCGAAGTGATTTGTGCAGAGTGTATGCAGTGTAACTAACTTTCCGACTACAACCAAATTAAATTTTTTTCGTGTTTTTTGTTATACGTCTCTCTCTCTCTTCATTGGTCAGACCCTCCCAGAGAGTGGACCTATCGCTCGGTCAGTGTGGTCCACCCTTTAACCACCGTCACGCCCAAAACACTCTCTAAAAATGTACATTTCTTTTTTGGTTGTGACATTTTCAAGGTACACACGTGTACATGTGGAACTTTTCTACTAGTTAGCCCCGTCTCCTGAAATCAGTTTTGATAATTCTGGTCTCCGCATTCACAACTTTACGGCAATGCGTTTTAAATTTTTGGGTACAGATACGTCCCATGTACCCCGGAGAGGAAAATATTCTTAGCTTCGTTGAAAATTTTTCAGATCGGCTTTTATACGTAAAACAAGTTTTTTTTTTCTTCTTTCGAATGTCACTAAATTTACGTATTTCTGCAAAGCAGTTTCTAGCATGCGATACAGAACACCAGACACAAATCAGGTATTACTACCCATGTTTATTTCAAGGTCAATTCTTTTGCGCACTGTTCTGCAAATAAATAAAACATTATGAGGGCAACTGTATCTATGGTACACAAACATAAATTAGGGGAATAGAATGCATGATGTCTTAAGATTTCAGCACTAGGAACACGCAACACATCAGTTCACATTGTCACTTTGCACATGACAGGACTGTCGGGAATCGGCCAGTCAGCCCACTTGATGTTGACTATATAGTAGCCAGGCTCGATGACTTTGTACATCACGGTGTAGTTGTCCAGTCCACAGTAAGTCACAGAAACTTTGATGACGGACCCATGCATTGGTCCTTGGATGCTCACTGACAGTGGCCCACTTCCTGCGTCTTTCGTGCTTACCTGCAAGCAGACGTTGAAAGAGGAGCATGATTAGTACACGATAAACGATTGAACAATCTTTTTTGAACACCAAGCTTGCAAACATTTCCGGATGTACCAGCCGGCCTTTTAAATACGCTGATTCCTTGTAAGCTTTCGTTCGTTTTATCGGGCCTCGTAGATCATTTTTGTGGTCGTAATGCCACAAAGGATCCAATATCTGGACGTACGTTTTTACGTGTTAATCTTCCGTGATTACCATTCTCGTTGAAGGAAAAGCTGAAAGCATTGGTTAAGTGGTATAGAATTTCCTTTCTTTTTTTTTTTCCATTTTTTTATAAGGAAGTGGTAATAAGGGCGAGCTAGACTTGTTCCTCGCACCGCCTAATATGCTTTATTAAAAAAAGAAATGCGTAAAAAAAAAAGGACGCATAATAAGTTTTTTATCAACCCTAATTTCTCGTGTGACAGGAAATTTCGAACATACGTGCTGCGGCTGACAACGCTGGCCATGTGTGTACGCAAGCCGACCAAAGCGCTTCCCTTTGCGCATGAGGGGGAGCTCTCATAAGAGGCAGGGGAGGCGTGGTGAGTGAGAGGGACTAAATACGTGTGCTGTTCGTGCACTGGTAGTCGTGACACTTTACATATCTTTTTTTAAAATATCCGTATGTAATGGGAAGTGACGCGAAATTCACTGGTAGAACTTTCGCAGTCGATATTAACTGATGCACGTCTCGGTTACCAAACTTATTTTGAGTCAATTTTATTTCCAATCACTAATATGATAAAAATTATTATAATTCTTTGTGAAACCCCCGGTTTCTAAAAGTGAACAATGACCCATTCGCCTGAAATACCCATCCCCCCCCCCCAAAAAAAATAAATAAATAAATAAATAAAAAATAATAAAATAAATAAATAAAAAAGGCACAGAGAATTAAAAAAAAAAAAGAAATTGCGTTTCCTTTTCACTTTTGTCATCAAAATAAAATAATAATAATAAAAAAAAACAAAAAACGAAAGCTCGAAGGTTCGCCACAGCGCACGCGGTTCCGAGTAAAATGAAAGTTCTCGCGGTACACAGAGAGTCACGCGTTAAGGCTCACCTCGAAGTGGTTTTCGGCTCCAACCTGTCCGAAGTAGAGTCTCGGGCCGGAAGCCACACACTTCTCTGGACGAGAAGACCACTTGCCGAACAGGTCCGAATCATTCTCGTCGTAGTAAATCTGACCGACGACGTCGCTGGACAACTTGACGCTTTCGAAAGCGGGGTAGCAGTCCAGCAGCAGAGAGCCCTCGTTGGGCAGATCATCGATGTATTCGGAGTCGGAGGAGTTGTCTTCCGATTCTGAAGACTGCCCGCCCGAAGAAAGCTCGTCCCCCGACATGACTGTAGCCATGGAGACGTGCCTGCGCAGGTTTCCCTCGCTGCACTGGCACCGCATCGCGCGAGGTCCCTGTCCGATGTCGCCGAACCAGAAGGCGTACGAGTGGCTCTGATGACAGTACTTCCGATGTTCGCTGCCCTCGGCTCGAGTGGGTGAGGAGTCTGAATTGGTCCGCCACGAGTGATCTTCGCTATTGACGGAGTCTCGCGTTCCTAAGCCGGAGTCTAGGGTGCCGGGATGACTCGCATGTCCTTGAGAGCAGACGCTGCGATTGTCGGCGTCTTGATGTGGCGAGGTGGGCGTGGGAAACTGAGCTGGGCTGTGGTACATGCCGCGGCGGCGATGTCTCTGCTGGCTCCTGGGCGGATTTTCATGACCCCCGAAAGCGGACAGTCCTGCGAGATTAAACACGCCACGTAAACAATTTTGAAGCGGTATCACTGCTGTAGTACGTGAAGGATGATTTCAGAAGCATACGCAAGCATTCTAACCGGACGCTTGTGTATGTATATAGTGGCGTATAGTGTCCTTAGGTACGGTGTTACTTTATTTTTTTTTTTAACTGCTCTCGACAATGGCATGCCAGAACTGATAGCATTCTGAGGGGGTTGTTAAAACGCGTTGCTCAAGGTTTAGCACCTTCCTCAACTGAACTTATTTAGTTTACTCAAATTCCCTTGTTTCTTCTTCAGACGGTCGTTTTTGGTCACTTTTGGTGCAGTGAATTTAAAACTAAGAGGGTGGCCCCACGTACATTTAGGAACATTACTCGGTATGAAATTCCTCGTATCTATAGATTCTATACTTATTAGGGGGAAAGCATTAGGTCATTTTACGTCTCGGAGATTTTTAATGAACTAGCGGACAACTTATTCTAACCATGGGCTCAAAAAGTCTGAAAAAGTTATTTCATGATACCACCAAGTGATTGATCTACAATTGACATTTGTTAAGTTATGTTGTGACCTGCTGTTTCTGCAAGGATTGGGTTGTACTGTCAGGTCATGCCACACAAGCCTCCCTTGGCTTAGGCAGACCTTTATATGTATTTGTTTATTCCCATCGATAAAAGTTTAATATTATTATTATTATTAAACCTTCTACTTCATCATGTTTGTACATAAAAATAAGAATGTTTGGCAGGTTTGAGCTTGCACCTTATTGTTTAACCAATCCAACAAATTCGCCTGGACACGAACGTATGCCTGCATACTGTAGCCAAAGATTTTGCGAAAAGGGCACCCCGCGTTTTTATTCTTATCGTAACAAAGAAAACATTTACTGATTTACAAATATATTACGCGCCCCTCGGCCCGGTACGCCGTACATGCTTATGGGTACTTTAGCCCTCGAAGATGAGCACGGACATAATTAAATTTAATGAGAACTTTTTCGTTTACAATATTGGTTGTCATGTGTGTCTCCATATAACTATGGCCGGCGCGCTGCGTTACTGCTTTGTAGTTAATTCCAGTCGAACGTATGGACTAAAAGCGACCACGTCACTAAGCCACCATCCCCTGATGAGACCTGCTCCGAATTAACGCGTTTCCTATATGCAAACACAGGGTGCGATTGTCGGATAAAGTACAACGTGCGGTCTATGGGCACCGTTCTATATCCTGGGGTTCATTGTTTTAGCCTAGCCAGACAGCCAGCCACTGCGAGCAACGGAAGGATTTCAACGAACGACGAAACTCAGAAAACGATTGGGCCTGAGGAAAGCGATATGTGCAGACACATTAAGGAAGAGAAACGACAAGCACTTTAAACCAGAGCACGACGTCTGTGCTCCATTGCTAGCAGTGATCGACTGCCCGAGTATTTTGCAGGAAAGTGAGCTCACACTTCTTTTAGAGAAAGAGAGAGGGGGGTGTGTGTGTGTCTGTGTGTGTGTGCGTGTGTGTGTGTGCGTGTGTGTGTGTAATCTCAGCAGATGAATGTATATGAAATAAAGCTGCCATTATCGTCAGGTTCTGCATACACCCTATGGAAATCTTCCACTATTTTCACGTAAGTTCATAAGGATTTTGTTTCTATGACTTGATCATTAATTACAATTTTTCCAGAAGCGACAAGACACAAAGTGACATACAAAGAGCTTTTTTTTTTTTTTTTTTTTTTTTTTTTTTTAACGACGCAGTTCAAGCAGTAGTATGTTCTGAGGAGGTTTTTTAGGGGCTGCCAAAGCAAAGTTTGTGGAGGAGAAGAGTTGGGTGCAAACGTGCAACAGGTCTGTCGGACGACCAGTTATATTTTTATTGGTGCAATTCCTACGCATTCGTTACCGAACCATTTATTTAACTAGAATACCACCACATTTTTGAGAGGACAAATAGGTGTTCCTTTGAACCCCTTTGGGGAACGTAGTCCGACTTAACGTCGTCCCCTCCTGCCACGTGACGCTACAAACAAAACTTTCGTACAGCACAAACGAGAACAAGTGACGAAATTAACTCCATCAACGGGACATACCTGACGACGTGGAAATGCAAGGCACAACGATGGCAATGAGGCTGGACTAGTCTTCTTTGAATGCACATAAATGCACAGTCACGCACAAGGCGCACGATTTGTTCGAAGGAACACAGGTCAGACGAAAGTCACTCCGCACATCACGTCACAGGACACAAAACAGACAGGACCCGTTCAGCCACGTTGTAATTGACACAAAGAACACGACTTATTCGGCGACTGCAGTACCTCTGTCATCCGACGGTCGAGTGTCGGAGTCGACAGAACTGTCCTCGGGCGGAGTAGAGTTTTTCACTAGATTTACAATGTGTTCTCTGCTGCGCGGAACTGGTCGCACTGCTTCGACGCTGTCGCTTCGAACGAAGGCAGCGGCTCGTTCGGCGTTCCGGGACGAGTCGGGGCTGTGCTTCTCTTCCCAATCTTTCACCCTGTCCTTGACGGGAATGAAGTCTTCGCGTTCGCCGATGAAGGACACTTCTGTAGAGCTGCCAGCTTGCGATCGGTTCTTCAGTTTGTCCGCAAAAAATTGTCTCAATCTCAAGGAGTCGAGATAGAGCGCCTCGATTTTCGATTCTGCAGCTTGCTCAGGTTTTGTGTTTGCTTCTACAGTTACTGCGGATCCGGTTTTTGGAAGAACGCTCTTGGGAACAACAGGAGAGAAAGCATTAAGGTTTGAAATGACCTTACAAGGTAAACGCTCTTTGCTAGGAAGAGCTTCCTGTAGGGGTTGAATACTCGACTTCTGATTAATTTGCTCCATGCTTTCGATATCCTGTAGCATCTCTCGAGCTTCCCCACTCGACGATTCAGCGATATCATGAAGCTCGGTTGGATCTAGCGGGCCCTTATCACTTTCTTCTGATATGATGGACAAGGCTCTACAAAGTTTCCTAGCCTCCTCTATGGCAGAGAGCTCCGGAGAAACAAGAGAGGAGTCGATCAGGCTACTATCATCTGCAAGATGGATACTGTCCAGGCACCCGGTGTTGTCTTGCAACTCTGACTGAGGAAGCTCAGAACAGATCGATTGGCAAGCAGGTGTCTGATCTTCAGGGGAAATACTACAAGGAGTTGATTGTGCCGGTTCTGATTCGACGTTCGTATCTACACCGGGACATTTGTCAAGTGTCGGCGCGTCCTCCCGATGCGGAACTTCGAACACACATGGCTCTTCAACCTTGATGCAGGGTTGAATTTTCAGGGCCAGCTCGCACGTCGTCTCTGTTGAGCATTGTAGGCCCGAACCTAACGGTTCAGCCTTAGCATCGTTCTGTCGTTCGAAAGTTTCTTCGTCGCTCATTGTTTGACCAAAGGAAGACACGACGATTTCTGGCGTTGCCAACTTTGAAGGACTTCTGGAAGCGTCCCACATTGACTTGCTTCCAAAGTCATTGCGGCTGTACGTCTCTGGAGACGATTCGGGGCTGCTGAACGGAGAAAAGTGGGGTCTGAAGTGTCCTATATCCGGCGTTGTGGCGGCTCGTTTTTGACAGCTGTCGCCGTTATTCTGTCGGAATGCGTTCTTGGAGATCGATTGAAGAACTTGTTGGAGCTTCCCGGGATCGTCGCCCTCGATCACGATGTCCTGGCCGTTCACGTTGAGAATGCGCCTGAGCACCCGACGCCTTTTGACCCTTCCTTTAATTTGGCCCGGAAGTGTTGGCGCGCTGGCCACGCTAGGCTTGTCGTCCTTCTCCGAGCCTTGCGACTCAGTAGAATCTTGCCTCATAAGCATCGCTTCTTCCGCGTAGTCTGTCGAGTCGTCGACGTTCACTGTGAACGGACTCCCCGCCAGGTGCTGCCCGTGCCAAATGACGCTCAGTTGATGCTTTCCTTTGAGCACAGGAGTATACTTGACGGCCACTTTTCCCGGCTGAATGTCGTACTCGATGAGAATCTTCTTATCCAGTTGATCTTCATCGGCGGAGTTGTCCCTGTCTTCAGTGGACTTGGTCACCTTCCTGCGAGGCGATTTGTTGGTGATGATTTCCTTGCAGATGCTATTGTCGGGGCCTTTGATCTCGACGACAATGCAGAAATTGCAGGTAGATCTCGTAAAAATGTTGAACGTTGCCTTGCGGCCTCGCACGGCCAGGATGAGCCCCATGCCTTTGGCGAAGCAGTTCTGCTTCGCGACAAGGCTGTTGGAGTCATCAGTGTCCTCCTTGATTGACGGCCGCTTTCCGAGTGCCCTCTGCAGCTGAGTCTTGGCGGAAATCTGTTTGAGGTGAGACACGATGGCGCGCACGGCCTTCTCGATGCACTGGCTACCCTCGGCGAGCTCCTCTGCCGTTATTTCCTGAAAATAAAGCAGAACATGTTAAAAGTTGGCTGGCTTTGTATAACACATCTAAATGTTATGGTACGTTATTGCAGTCCCCCGTTTTTGCGGTTGACACGCACTGGCATGGCAGGGGCGAGACGAATGTCCACTTACGGGTCTTATCGGCGTGTGTTTCTCCAATAGGAAGAAAGCAAGCTCGGCATTGCTGAGGCAGTTGTCCGGGTTGAGAAGATCGTAGCGTGGACATGATCCGGGGTACATGGAGTCCAGCAGGGCACAGAGCAGAATGCCGTCCTTCCAGCCAGACGAGAAGTTGTCTGGGACCGGGTGGTTCTTGACTCTGGTGCGTACCCACTCGAGCAAAGTATTTTTCTCGTGGTGTCCCACCGAGATACCTGCGAGGGTAAACACAGCACATTTTGGCAGGTGTAGGATGCGACAAAGGTAATGCTATCGGGAAGTCAGACTCAATTATATACGAATATTATTGCCTACATAGTACACAGTCCATGGGTGCACTGTTCTATTTCTATCATTATTGCCAACTTATGGGACTATCTCTGGGAGACATGACGCCCTGCTTGGAATGTGTCTTATAATAAGAAAATACATTTTAACATCTCGCCATAGGGGCTCAGTGGCCAACGCAAATCGCACACGCACGTCAGTGGGTTGAAGTTGTGGTTCATCGTCTTAAAATTTTAAGTACCCTTTATCGTACCAGAGCATTCACAGACTACCGCACGCATTGTGAGGACGCTCCTTTTATAAAAAGTGGTTATATTCATGAGTAATCCGATTGTTAATACGTACAGCTAAGAATGTAGCAGAAGAAGAGGTGCACTTTGTTCCACAGGGTGCTGGACCTCCATGCGTTTGTGGGGTGGAGCAGGAGGTGCCATATCCAAAGGCACCAGGACGTGAGTCGACTCAGCGACGACTGCCGGTAGTCCTCCATCACGCTCAAAATGTCCGCTGCGAAAGATGCAAAACGAGATAATTTAACTAATGCACCGGAAACCACACAGCAGACACCGCATCATTATATTCATGCTTCCTTATCATGCTAAAACGTTCGTATGGTCATAGATATTTTCCCACCTCCATGTGTGGCTCAGGTTTACGCTGAAACTTCTTTCCCGTTAGAAAAATGTCGCTTTTGCCCAGAGCTGACGTTTAAAAGTTCGGTTCCTTAGCCAAACCGATGATGGGGGTGGAAGTGATGACCATGTTGAGAACAGAAACATTAATATCAATATCAGCACTGTTGGTGCTTTTTGTTATATATTTTTAAAACCTAAATGCGCCATATGAAGGAAGCAAGTGAACTTTTTACTTCTTGAGTTTGAGCTGGATAAACGCACGTAAGACAGATTTCTTTTATGCTTATTTATCCGACTCTGTTGCACACGGAAAACGTTGTGTATGTTCGCTGTGCTGCTCTTGCGTTCATAATAATGTGACTACGACTCAGGACGTTTACCGAGCAAGCACAGTTATTGGTTCAGCGTTTTGATTCCAATGTGTTAAGTAACAGTAATAACGCTACTTTGAATTATTCCTATACCTTCTGAATTAATTTAATATTACTAAAGTAGACATAATTTTAACAAAGCCGACAGATGCAGATATTTAGAAATGTAATGGGTGGGGATCAAATCGTAAAACATGACGTACGTTTTCGCGGGGAACGTGCTTTCAGTTAGCCAACTATGTTTATAAAAAAAAAATAAAAAAATGCAGCACTCTGTCTTATTTGTTTGTTTTCTAACACTGCATCTTAAAAAAACTAATTATAAATTGAAGTAAAGCGACAATACAATCGCGCTCCTTTATCAACGTAATCTGAACGAGTTTGTCAACGATTACTTTCTTTTCTCTTTTTTTTTTGAGCGCCGAAATGCTTTTCTTTCAGAAGCCGAAACCCAGAGCCTTATAGTGCGATATTACTAACAATTTCGCAGTTGTGACGTCGCTTAAACATTAAGAAAAAAAAAAAAAAAAAAGCGCGGTGGAGGTTACGGGTTCTTATTGTCGCAGATGCGAAATCGCAAGTACGATCGCACCATGTGAGTCAGGCTGAACAGATGCAAGCGGGCGCAACGTAAACATATCACGGACCGTGAAACAATCGCATCAATTCACAGATGTAAAAATGACACCTGCGTGCCGATTCGAAATTCGTACATATAAGGGCACAAGCGAGCCCTGTTGACTCTGCAGGCCGCATCAATCACTCCCCCGGTGGACGGCAGCGTGCTCTCGCCCAGCTGAAGCACGGAGCATGATATCACTGCTGGGAAACTCCGTGCGCGGTTAAGGCCAAGGAGCTATCGCCTATTGTACCTTTGACAACGCGAAGGGAAACCCTCAGAAGATAAAGGAAAAGTTAAAAAAAAAATTACCGGCTTCTCGAGCGACGCGTGAGACACAAGACAGCTGACAGGTGCATCTCACGTATCGAGATGAGTGTTGCAACGTGCGGAGAAACCACGCTCGTGGCGTTCAGCGATGACGGTACGACGACTAAGTATAAACGTTTTCGATGACGTGCTACATACAGTACAAAGCTGTAAAGGTTACTCATTAATTACGTTACAGTTACATCAGTTGAAATGTAACTAAGTTACAGTTCCTAAAACTTTACTGTAACTCAAACAGTAGAGAAAATGTAACTAATTACAATAACTTAAATGCTCGCAATTACTTACTTAGCAGCTTTGATACGGCGTGACAAGATCCACCTCAATCACACGTATTTAATAGGAGAAATCGCGGTTGGGTAACGTTCTCAACCATCGGGGAAGCTGAGCAAGCTGCTTGCATTCGGTTCGTCTTTGTCCACGACCGTGGCAAAGGCTTTGAAGCGGGTACAAGCGGTTTCACGCGTCCAGGAAAGGCTTATTTCGCTTTCGCGCTAATAATCGAGCTAGAACAGAAGATCCTAACATGTACTCTCACCATCAATATGACCCGAAACAGCCGATCCGGCTTTCTTCTGCGTCTGGGGTCCCCACAAGCTCTCAATTTGTCAAAGAGTCTAACGTATGGAACCTCAACTTCGCATTCATTCCTTATTCAAACCACATCTTTAAAAAAAAATATATATATATATCTGGTCGCTACGCCGAAGAAGCAAGAAGGACTGTCTCAGCTCATATTGAACGCGATAGTATACGCTGCCAAAACATCTCTGAAAACGCGTAATGTTGGTCAAATTTATATACGAAAGCGAGCATACGTACAATCGGCCATTGCGGAGTCGGTAGCGGCATGTCTGGAGTCGGGAGAGTCTCGAGGAGTAGTGAGGAATGCGTTAAAAAAGAAAAAGAAAAAAAGTCGTGCGACTGCACCGAAGCGCTCTGATAACGGATCTCCCGCGAGCTTGGAAAGCGACAGACCATGTTTCGAGCAGGCGTAGAGAACGTCTTACGCCTCTTGACGCCATACTTGATCGCTCAAAGAAATGTCTTGATAACACGACGACGACGATGTGACCTATAGGGCTCACGTATATCTTTCACCCTCTAGCTGCTTTAGTATTTTATTTTCTAGCTTCAAGTTTGTAAAACGCGGCTAAGAACGTTTTTTGTTTTTGGTACACGCCCGTGTCTTGAGTTTGCACTACAACTTGGGTGTGATATTCGAGGGTTGAGTTTCACGGGAGCATGTTTTCACGCGCACTTTAAACCGGTTTCATCTCACTCGCGTATTCTTGCCAGGGAAACACGCGACAAAATCTAAACTATGGAATGTGCGACAAAGCGCACAGAGCGTGATAAGGGTCCGGATGTCGGATAAACGAAACAAACGACGAAGAGGGGCAGCCAATCTAGGGAGGACAAAGTCTATTCCTTCTTTTTTCGCCCGTTTTGAAGGCTCTCAAATTCTAGTGCTTCGCGCTCCATCAGCACGTCCGCGTCCTTGTGTTTTCTTTTTTGCCGCGGGATAAAACTTCGCGTCTATTGCACCTCCTAAACTAAAACACACAAAAACAGCTATTTGTTTCACAATCGTAATGACGACCCACAACACCACGCATTGTATATCCCCCCACGTACACATACCAATGCATAATAATCGATGGATCTGATAGAAGTCACATATATACTTTTGAAATGTCCGAGGTAAAATCCGTTGAGAATACGGCACACCTATAACATTTAAACTAGAATGAGAAGCATGCGACAGCCTCTTATTTCAAGCTACACAAACACAAGCGACGTAGATGTCTCTTTCTATGTACCTATAAGACGACGACTCTAAACGAACAGCTCATTATCGAAGCTTGTTGTTGATGAGACACGCCGCGACCGACTCATCCAGCAGTGTGGGTAATGTTTCGCGGCACGCACGCGATTCGAAGGTAGCCGTCCGAATCGTCGGAGCATTTCGAAGGACCATTGTGTGCAAATCTGAACGTGCAAAGATTCGGAACGACTGAGCGTTGCCAAGACGTCCTTCGGGGTCGCGAGCGCAGTACACGTCGCCGAAACTGGCAGATCTCGCGTGCGCCAGTAGAGTTTTAGTAGATCGTTCCGATGGCTCCGATAACCATATCCGATACTCCGCCGACGCCCTTGCGCATGAATCATGCCGTTATCGGATATCGGAACGATAGGCTTAAACTCTCTATTGGTACAAGCCGTAACGAGGGCTGCAATGTATCACACGAGTCACCGCTCTGTTAATCCCTTAAAAAACGGGTGCGCCGATAGAGCTGCAGCAGTAAATATCTTCACTCTTTTGTTCGTTCCCGAATGCAGAAGCATATACGGTGAATAGACATTTTTTTTTAGCCTTATTTTCAGCTACGTACTTGACAAATCCAATATATGGGATAAAAAGATAATGAAAAATCCCAGAAAATGCGAGGCATTACATCTTGAAACAAGTAAAATCATATAGAAAAGGCAAAGCAAGAATGATTGACAGTCGCGATTAAAACGCGAGCTTCTCCCGGTGGTATGGCGACAGCAAAACTATTTTCCCGCATACCGGAAATTCCGAGATTCAAGAAGGCGGCACCCGCGTTGAGAAGCGATATAGGGACACGAAACTCGGAGGGCGTTAGCGAAAATCACACCGTATACGGTATGTCATATCAGGAGAGACTGCACAGCGCGTCTTATCGCCCCTGTTTGTGCTGTACGTGTATAAGCATACATTCCATTCCACGTAATTCTCCATCTGCCAAGTTTCGCGCAGCGCTATCAAAGTCTAAAGCGCAAGAGCGTCGCTCAGTGAAATACTTTGGTTTGCACGAAACGGCCAAACAGCATATGTTGCCCACTTCTTTGGTCGTTGAATGAGTACGCTTCAAAGCAAAGCAAGGTTTGCACAAATTAGCGAGCAGGGAGAACTTGTATAGCAAATGCACGCCCTTGTCCTAGTTTTTGCATTGGAGCGAAAACTCATCGGGGAATATATGCAGTGTGGTTGAGATGTCAGGTCCATGTTGACTATCTCTACATGAACCACACATTCCCCCTCCCCTTTTCCTCTCTCCCCCTCCCCTCCCCTTTTCCTCGCCCCCCCCCCCCCCCCCCCCCTACCCCTCCCTATTATAGATCCGGTCTGCCTGCGCGCCCACTAATATCAGTACATGTAGACGCCGGGCATCTTTGGCATCTAATTTCGGTGGTTGTTCTATTTCCGTGAGTAGCACGGCTGAGGGCTTTACTCGCTTTTCCCGTATTTCAACCTCGCCTCCCTTCCCCTCGCGCGTTACTTTGAAAGGCGAGTAAATGTGCACCCACCAAACGCAAACGCGCAGACAACAGCAATGAGAGGCCTGCCCACGAAACAGACTCAGCGATTTGAAACTATAGCTATAATAATGTTGACAATGACAACAACTCGTCTCCCGAGTTCAGGCACAGCTCTCGAAGCCGAACAGCCCGAAGCGTCGTCCAAGTTAGAAGAATGCATGTTGTAATATAGGGGAAAAAAAGAGAAAAACTTACAATTGCAGTGGAACGAAAGGTTTGAAAAACTACGAAGCCCAACGAACGTAGAAACGGTGTTTTAGGTCGTATTTTATCCTGCGCTTATTGCCATGTTTTAAAACAAACTAAACATCGCATTTTTTTTTTCACTATCATTTTGAATCTTTTTGAAGTACGCTTTGAAGAAGTAGCGGAAATCGCGCTCCCCTCTTAATGGACGAGTTTCTTCACAATGAAGATTCTTAAGCTTCACTAAATAGCTAAAGCATCACATGCTGGGAGCGTATAGGCACTTCCCAGAAACAAAAACCCAATTTCTTCGTCTGGATGTCGCCTGCAAAGCAGTAAGGAGGTCTGCAAACGCGAGGGTTTCACGCGAGTGTCTTTACCAAACAGCTAATGTAGATGACTGTATAGTCAAGTTGTGATTCCTGTGCCAAAAGGAAAAGGAGTAGTTTCTTCCTCTTCGAAACTTAACTTGACAAGCAATTAGATTCCAAGGTGCTCGGTTCGCTGCGATATCGTGCAATTTTTTTGTTATGGCACGAGGAAAGAGGAAAACAACCAGGGTCAGGAACAGAAAAGTCACCGTGAAAAGCAAAAGAAAAGCGCGAATATTCAAAGTGACGCCTACAATTTTATGCCCTTCTGGACGCATGACACCCCTGGTTATGAGGTGTTGCGAAAGCTCTTAGAGGAACAACTAGCTCGTAAATTGAGGGGGGTGCGCTCTCGACCTCGGGAATGCTGCGGCCTCAGTTCTTGCAATATGGTGGCGTGATAGATGGACAGCGAAAGGTGTGGAGGGACAAGATGGTCGGACCCAGTGACGTGCAGCAACGGTGAAATAGTTTCGCTGTCGATAGGAACTCGTCATAGAGCCGCTCATGACAGCCGCACGCCATAAAAGCCCCAAGTCGAGACAGCCTTTGCACAACGATTCCTACGACCGGAGGAAACCGAGAATCGCTGATCGGTCAGCTAATTAATGAGGAGGTAAAGCGCAAACGCTACTTCCTCTATGTTCGTCTTAAATTTCTCAAACTCAAGGCTGTGCTGTCTTTTGAAGCGTCTCTTCAAACCGCCATAGCATCACGATCTTTTGCAACTCGCTGCTTCCTGGAACTGGAGTGTGCGAGCGTTTACACGCCGGTCGAGCAAGGAAAGCCCGGAGTTGCATCAAGAAGTCGGTGTTTTCTTCTTTACTCGCAGCCATTGTTTGCGAAGTCAACGTCTTGCGGTGGGCTTTAGTGGAGGTCGCCGTGAGATGACACGCGCGCTTGTCATTCTTGATTTTACATACCAGGGACAAGTTATTTAGCTTTGTACACGTGTACACTTTCTTCTCGGCACTCTTCTGCTAGACAAAACAGCTACGAACACGCTCTTGGCTATCTATGTCGCTTTTCGGTTTGTTTAGCTTTGCTGCACGAAAATGTCGGCTTGTGAGTTCACAAAACGCAGCAAATTTCTCGCTTATGCAATTGCTTTGTTTTTTGGCATGGTTTAGTTTCGCCCTCATTGAACACCCACTCAACTCAGAATAGTTTGTTCTGGTCAAGTTGACGACAAGAGCAGCACAAAATAGCGAAAATAAGTGAACATATTTATTGTGCTAACTACACTCGCTGTTCTTAATTGAGGGGGCGTGAGAATTATCAGGCGCTATCGCTCAAAACTGGTCCGTAAAAGAGAAATAAAACTATCTCTACATATATTTTTAGTTTTATCTTTTATTTTTATCAGATTTACTGCCGACTTGTCAGGGTATAGACCTGTCAAGCAGCGAGTAACACTTTTTTTTTTTTCTCTCGCCACCCTCAGTTTGTATACACAAACGGAAGTAAGGACCGATTGATTGATATCTAATTATTTCGCCCAATTCTATCACACTATGTCTACAGGAAAGCAACAGGTTATGCAGCCTCACTCGATTGACACTGACGATGTTCGTTGGTCAGTGGGTGGTGAACGTAAAGGGGTATTCACACGAGGGAGAAATCCCGGGGATTTCTCCCCGGCACGCGCGCATCACGAGATGAAAACGCGAGGCTTTTGCACATCGCAAAGCTTGACGTTTTCGTCGCGGAATGCGCGTGCCGGGGAGGAATCCCCGGGATTTCTCCCTCGTGTGAATACCCCTTATAGGAACGACCCAACGCCGCAATGCGGCAGGCGCCCTAGATGCGCTCGCACGTGTGCTCGAAACTAAAGTCCCTCGATGCTTCTTTCTACAAGTACCGACAACCAATACATATGACAAAGCACATTCCGCTAGAACAAAATGGCGTCATGCAACTCAGTCTTCTGCTGTGTGCCGCCATTCGCTTCCTAAAGCCTGCACCGTCATGCAGTCGGCGCTTCAAAGAATATCGCTACTTGTTGGGAGCACTTATGGAACTTTACTCGAAACGAGCAGTGTTGCCGTTCATTGATGGGCTCCATATACTGAATGTTTTATGCAGTGGTAGAGCGGATTTCTGGTGCGCATTTGTTTCTGGCACTTTAGGTGAATATTCCGTCCATCGCCCGATAAAAGGGAGTGTTTAACACACTTCTTCGGTGTCTAGGAAGAAAAGACGTACTTGACTAATCAACAAGAAATGTTCACTATTATTGAATGGGACGGATTACTCCGTTTTGCCTGCAACACTGCGACGTGTATGTACCACCCAACCGATATTCGTAATATAAACCGAAAACTGAAATAACTACAGTTCATTGGCGTCGGTCTCAATTGGTTCGTTTCGCTTGTTCGACGCAATTTACTCTCATTTATATTATCTTCAGCTAAACTAAACGAATGAAAACCGAGAGCAAGTAAAAGCAAGAGGAAGCTTCCGCAGAAGCATGCACAACGCTGCATAAACGAGACAGCGGCGGCGAGGTGCAGCTCCCTCGCGTGAGATTTGAGCTGACGGCGAATAAAGCATCAGCGTATACCACGCGTATACATATCGCGCGACAAAACTTTGATTAATTGACATTCGTATCGAGCTGATGCTTGTCTATGGTTGTGGAAGTTAAGGCGAGACTTAGTTTACAGGTCGGGTCATACACCAGTCGATGTTTTGGGGAACGAACTACCCGTTATTCAAATCCCGCACTTGAAACCTCGGAACCACGCACGTGATCAGCGGGTGACTGAATTCAAATGAGCAGTTTTCTCGTTTGATGTCGAGCCCTTAAGCAGGGTGGTCACATGCAGCGTTAATAGAGCATACAAAGTCAAATTGCCTCTGCGGAGAACTGAGGATTCATTTCGACCACCTGGGCATCTTTTGACGTGCAAACCGACAGCTCGGTTACACGGCGCCTTCTCCGCAATATGCCTCCCTCATATTGCGGACACCTCGGACGGGATTCGAACCCGTCACCTGGGCACCTGTATTAATACAGCCTGCAAAGGACAGTGTGTCGACACTGTCTCACATTTGTTGTCGAAAAACTGTCTGCACACATGTTGGAAGCACGTATGAAGTAAACATCCTTCGAACGAGCTTGACGCGTGTCCGCAGACGTGATCATGTCTGCCAGACTCTGATTTCGTCGAGCTTTAGCAGGGGCAGACCGGGACTTTTGTACGCGTGTGTGGCTCTAAACTTCACCGAATATAGCACCATCTATTTTCTTCTTCTTCTTCTAAAGCTATGTTAAAGCATTTCTGATCTTCCTCTTCTCGAGTGTTATCCCAACACCTGGATCGGAGCGATGGGGGTGCGGGCCACCCTGCATCACGAGACATCCAGAACGCGTTGTAGAACCGCAGTTTACCTCGCTGTCTTCTGGTCCTCCTGGCACCGATGATCATACCTCCGGGATCTTGGAGCCGTCGCCTACGAGCGTAGTAGTCCCTGGAGCTGTGTCCGATCACAATGCCGTTCCCCTTAGGCGTCACTGGGGCCACATCGAAGCTCGAATGCCGGCAAACCACGCACGGAATAGAGACGTTGCTGATCTTGCGAATCCGGTTGCTTCCCCACTGCATTTCGGCGGTCGGCAGGTTCCGCACAGCGACTTGGACTTTTTCACATCGGCACCGAATCACAGAACACCTGGTCGTCACCGCGTGAACGCGATTCGGTTGAAACGGGTCACAGACCTATGACGCGTCCACCGCGGAGATTGCAAGTTGTTGGGCCACTCTCCTCGTTCAGATGGCGAAGCGAAAGCCTTGCCTCTGGTGCCGAAAAAATTGGAAAAAGCTTGCAGAATATGGTGTTGACTGGAGGGTGTCTTCTTCCTACGAGCTGTTGATGGCGGCTATACGCGTCCTTATCAAATACTGCGCGATAAACGAATGATTCTTGAGCGAGGCCCGAACGATGGGTTCGTTCGGCAAACCTCTCTGACGGCACAAAGACCGTCCAGAGAGACAATTGTCGATTGTTTCTGCCCGGTCCATTTAGTCCGAGATAGTTCTCGGCAGATAAGCGGTGACGCCGATTGTGTTCCCGGCATAGCGCGTGTTTATCGACAGATAGAGCGTTCCAAAACCCATTCAGCAAATGTCTCGGTGCACATCGGAATTTGCGTGTGACCAGTGTTGACGAACAACAATTTCAGGGTCCTCTCTTCGTCGTTTCGGTTTCGTTCTGGATGATGTCTTGGGGCATATTCCCTTCAGCTTCGGTTTGCTTCGTGCCTGGTGTCGACCGTCTGCGTCTTTTTGCGTAGCGATCAGTGGGCTCGCCGTGTTATCCTTATCAGAGTGTACTGAAGCTGTGTCACTATCAGATGGGCAGCGCTGTTGATTACTTCCTGTAGTGCCGACTGTGACGTGTGCGACTACATGCCAAAGTGAAATTTGTTGTTTCGACAAATTCGAGGGGTTACAAGGTTGGAAAAATAATGCTCGTTACACACGCAGAAAAGAGATTTTGCATTGTAAGTGCATACTATACTGGTATGGCCTCCCAGTTTGACATAGCCCCCGCCCACGCACACACAGAGTATTTATTTGTCTTGTATGCAGGTGAAGACAGCGGGAAGTCAGCCCCAGTCGGCGTCTGGTGTCTTAACTGTAGATAAGAAATTTAGCTAGCGCATTACCACTGCTGATATCCTTTAATATGCATCGCGCAGTATAGTGATCCACTATCCCACGCCGGTACGATGCTCACCCAGAAGCACAAACACACAGAAGTGCTAAGAACCCAAAACCTGAAATAGCATTAAAAAAACTTCGATTCTATAAAAAGAATTGATCCAATATATTTCCTGCCCCACTCAGAGCCAGCGTGTTTTGCAACCCGGAAGAAAAAAAAAAGCAAAGCTTTTTTTTTCTTTTACTTTGGTATTAGAATAAAAGATGTTGTGGAGATGGAATGGCGGCACTAGTGAAACCCTTTCCGCCCTACGCCTCGTGGGCCCTTTGTGGCCTCAAGATAGCGAGGAAAGCTAAAATATCGCAGCCTATCGGTCGAGTGCCTCACTCAGTAAGCTTTGGCATTTAGCTCATAAACAGAGAGCGGACAAACGTTGTTGCTGGTCGGTCCGGCAACGGCCATTGTGACGAAGTGCTGATAGTAGCGAGCACAAATTGTTTTCTGGAGGAAGGCCAAAACAACAATTGCAAACATTAAAAAAATAATAATAAAATATATATATCACTTTGCCCGACTACGATGCGTGCGCAGCTTTGACCGGTGAAGTCTTTAGTGATGATGTAAGCTCTTCATATTCCCCAAAACACAATTGCCCGTCTCCCTCTTTCGATCTTATTATTATTATTATTATTATTTTCTTTTCTTTTTGCGCCTGAGCTAACACAGAACAGGCTTGGGTTTATGTTTCCAGGTACTCCATGCCATGCTACGCTTTTTAGTCGACTTCGTTCTTATGAGGTTAACCAGTTTGTCTCGTTTGACGTAGCGTACAGTGCTTTCCAAACTTATCCGGAACACGCGAACGATGTCTCATCTCATGCGAGAGTGTTATCCTGGCGGCAGCCAAAGAACTACTCCATGAAGAAGCGTTCAATGGAACAGTCATGGCAGGGGAGATCGCTCGCTGTCTCAAGGCCTAAAACCGCTGCTGAACCGGGGACAGCTAGCACAACAACTTTTTCTGCAAGGCGATCTACACGTTTTGCCTGATTCGACAGAAACATCAAATGCTTACTGATTGAATCATCTAATTACCAACTGTTTCCACAGTCCTCTATTCATCTTCGTGCGAAAAGCTGCCGATAAATATAAGCATATAGGCCGGCCGGCAAAATTGCTGCGGTACCCACTGCCTAGCGAGCGGCCTCCCCTGATTCGGACTGAGCGCCCATGCAGCATTTCTTTGGTCGCCGCCTGGATAGTGCTGCCATGAGATAAAACGCCGTTCGCGTGGTCCGGATAAGTTTGAAGAGCACTGTACAATTTAAGCAGATGATTAAGAACATATTTGCAAACGACGGAAGCTCGTTACGATGTTTTATATGTGGCTCTACATGCTCACGATTGTCACATTTATTGAAGCTACTTCTAACAACAAACTAACTTCACCATCCAATAGGACAAAAAAAAAAATCAGATGTCATTATCAGCACAAGTTCTGTGCTAAGCAAACGTATCGGCTGCCTTGAACAACAGTTCTGACGGTGCAAAAAATTAATCTGGCGAATGCTTGCTGTCCGCACAGGCTGAACCGCAGAAAAGTGTAGTGCAGTCTACTTTCGGTATGTGCATTGAGTACACAGCCCTGCACTTTTCTGCACCGGTGCAGGAGGCGCACGTAAATTGAACGAAGCTACTACATGGCCGCCAGTGAACACTCTTGACCCGAGAAAGCCAAAATATTTGGAACGTCGACGCGCGCGCGTCTTTTTTCGAGAATGGCGGACGGATACTCTTGAGTGCACAGATTTTCCGTTTCAAAGCCGTCGCCTTGAGGAACTAGCTCAAGATCATCGCGACGTTTCGCGTGAAAACCGCGATAACATTCAAGAGTAGTGCTCCGCTCTCCCGCGACTTCCTGCATTATGCATAAACAGACTCCGGGGCCGGTGTTTCACTCAACATAAAGGGAGCAAACGTACCACTAAAAGCAATCTCCGCGATTCTTTTTTTTTTTTTTTTAATGCAAGGTTGCGTGGAACACGGGTTTTAGTGCGTTATTCTGTTCACACGTTAACCTTGGCAATGCGTTTGTTGGAACTGCCGCGATTTTCAGCTTGTTTTTGCTTCGAGCAGATAGACACCGCGGTCCTCGGCGGGCGAGGTCATGTAAACAAATACGCTGGGGCTTCCAGCTCATCGCCAGCCGCACTACGACGCCTCGAGATTGGGCCTTGACCTCGGAAAACGCGCCGCTAAAAAAATCACCGACGCGAGCCGTAATCGTCGTTTTAAAAAACTGGGTCGCCGACGCCCGATAGCTCGTGGATTATGTTTCTCCCGCTGAGGTTGGGCGCGTGCGGCTCTCGATTCACACTGATTACTGTACGAAACGCAGACCTAGGTTATTAAAATAAATCCCAACTGAAGGATACATATAGTAGCTTAGATATCGGCACAGACGAGCTCGGCGTCTTCTCTTTTTCTTTTTTTTTTTTAGGTGGATTAAACTTTGAAAAATTGCGAACAAGCGAGCTCCAGTGTGTTGAGTATACTTTGTTTTTATTCCTATGCTGATTAAAAAAAAAAAAAAATAAAGAAAAAAAAAAGCTATTATGGAGTGCATTTTTTGACTGGGCATCTGCAACTTTAATGCGCGGCTTAATGAATTTAGAGTAGACCAAAGCTTCCTTCTGAGCTGACCGAGAACAATGAGGGCTTCGCTTAAATTCCCCGAGTCTCGCATGCTTCTGTCGTATTTACGAAATTCCGCACGAATTTCTTTTGAAGTGAAGGGAATGGATTGCTGCCACCATACACACGGAGCTACTTCCTGCAGCAGTTCGGCGTGGAGGACTTTGATTCTGACAAACACAGCTGAGTAGAACAGAGCTGCCCCGGGCGTGCGGAAAAGAGTAGGTGCACAGTGATGCACGTGAGTCAAGCGTTCGGCACTCTGTTGCCGCTCCATGTTCGCAGGTGCAACGGCACTCGTTTTTTTCGTCAGTGGTGAGGTTTTCTCCGTACACGTGAGACGTGACAAACCCAAGTGCAACTGAAGCGTACACTTAAGCGGAAGTGAAATGACATGAATGCCATCCATAGTAAACCCGAGACAAAGGAATAATTAAAAAAAGAACAGAATTCGTTGGTATGTTTGTTTATTACAAACAATTCTTTGTCTCGGGTTTAATATGGATGTCATTCAACAGCTCGCCTGCATTTTCCCCCCATCTTGACGTAAAGGAAATTAAAAAAAAAAAAAAGAAAACACGAAGCGCATAGGAAACGGGTGTATTAGAGAAATTCACGAAGCATAGAATATTTCGCTTAGCGTCGCGGGTCGTTTGTTGTAGACACTGGCACCATTTTGTTTGCATCACTTGCGGTGTAATATAAATATTAGAGGAATTTTAAGTTAGATTATCTAGCTGCCATCTTTTCTGTCGACTCAGGAAAAACAAAAAGAAAGAGATATTCTAAAATAAATTTAAATTTCGAGTTAATCAACAAGAAGGTCTGGAGGAATTTTCTAGGCTCTCAACTCTGCACCCATGGGATTTCACGCCAAGCGATACCAAGCAAGTGTGCAAGTCTTGAGATGATAAGAAACAGGACACGCAATTATCAGTCGCCGCGAAGATTGATAAAAATATCAGCGTATAATGCGTTAGAAAATTGTTGTAATCGATCGGGGTCGCTCAACCAGATACATTTACATTGTCAAAAGCTAGAAAACGACCCAATGGACTTGCAAACACGCACTGATACTCTCGGCGAAATAATAATAATAATAATAATAATACTAATAATAATAATAATAATAATAATAATAATAATAATAATAATAACAATAATAATCGTCTTCATTTCCTTTGTTTCACAGACATAAGGGAGACAAGGCGAAAAGCTGCATACTCGAAGATTGACGAGGCCCTGCCACCTGTGAAGCTCTCAGAAACGTTCCTCCTTAATTTTGCTGGCAGGTTGGGTCGGCTCTTAACATTTACATTTTACACCGTAGTTCATCTCTCGGGGTGCGGATAACACGAACATGCAGCTGAAGGAGTGGCTTTACAAAACGACATTTGATCGTTCGGTCGTCATTCAGCCGCAGTGACGGTGCCCTCGTATGTAGTACATCATACAAAAAACACGGAGTTCTCCGCAGGCATTATGATCGAATCAACTGCGGACACGTTCCAGCAGACAATGTTTGTACGTCAAAGGACAGTCATGTTAAGAAAGAGACAGACGGTGTCTTGCGTGATTATCGCTGTGACGGGCTTTTGACTGCAATGCTCGTAGAATAGTTGCGTAGAAGGGC